CCATTGTTTTATCATTCTCTAGTTGAATGTCATTTAGTTTATTTTTTCATCTCATATGAATTAGTTAGTCTAGAGTTTGAATGATTTCTAATGGGACATAATATTAGAGCTTAGTGTTTTGATAATTCATAAGTAGGGGTATTTCTGAAATCTACTATTGGTCGTATGGGGTAACCTGGCTTATGTATTTTAATAGTACCATATATTAAACATTCTAGCACCAGTCTGAATTAACAAAACCGGAGGAGAAATATACACACCCATATGTGTTACTAATTAATTGTTGGTATTGTAGACACAGGAAGATGAGAAATCTGAAATGATGCATATATATATACGAATGTTTTTAATTGAGTGAGTCACCTCTTTAAGGATGGATGTGTCAACAAATGTGCTTTGTTTGTCACACCAGAAGACCTGGAAGGGAAGGTAAAATTGACTTTTTATAATTAAATTATTATTATGGCTTTAGAATAGATAGAATGGTAGCCAACTGTTTGTTGTCTCCTCTGAAGGATTCATTTCACATTCCTGTCATTACTGTTGTAATTAATTCATTAGTTCTCTTGCCTAAGGCGAAATTCTTCTTAGCATTCATGCACGCACGCACACACACACACACACACGGACACAGATACACACGCATGAATCCAGCTGCTCAAAACGGAATACTGTCTACCTTCAAACTAATTATCATTCTATATATATACAATGTATGCTATGAGTAACAAAGAAGGCTGAAAGGCAGAGAGATACCACATAGAGGAAAAATGAGAGTGATTAAATTTTTACTCTTCATGACATCTTGTTACTAATATAATTAAGTAGTATCCTTTGACGTTTATATGAATTAATCATAATTAGCCTCTAAGAGTTAATTAATGTCTTCAACAACAAGAAAAGCGTAAAATTAATCAGCCGAAATATTTTAAACATCATATTTCATAAAATAATAACTTATAAGGAAATATACCCACCATCTTCCCACTGACACGCACACACACACACACAGAGAAACGCACACTTGTCAGCAAACGTTAAATTACATTTAAAGCCAAGAAGTTTGAACCCATATGCGTAAATTATTGTTATTATTTGTTTCTAGCCTAATTTCGCGTTTCCCATTGATCGATAATGATGGATTGAAATGCTTTGCTTCTGTTGACATGTAAGCTTCTAGTACAGAGTTCCAGCCCTAGTGGAAATACCATCATTACTACTTAATGGGAATGCAGGTGTATTCGGCTGACAAGTTTCAAATAAGTCGAAATGCACATCGTGACTGCATTCCACTGCTAGTCACTATCAACTAAAATATGATTGTTATCATTATTATTTGTTCCTTGAAGGGCTTCAGGGACATATCTCCATTCATCCAGTTCTATGCCATCATGACTACTCACAAGCTTCCCTTTAATTGAAGCCATTCCATTAGAAAGTCGTACCATTTTGACACAGACATTATCTGTCTTATATTTAACTAACGATGTATTTAGATATATTGACAACTATCATGAAATAAAAACGGATCTTTTTCATGCAAACAATAAACTTAATTTTATTTCTTTGTGAAGTTCATTTGACATCAATTTGAAATTATATGGTTATGTCATCAGAAGCCACCTATCTGGAATAGATTCCTTATTTATTTAATCTTTTATTTTGATTTACACCTTGATGCCACACCGTATTTTCAGTACAAGTATGGAATTTTCAGCATGGATAACGGTAGCCCAAATTTTGCAGGCCAACCATAGATATCGGGTGTGCATCGGCAGGGGATCGAACCCCGGACCATGTGCATGGTCAGCGAGAGTCCTAACCACTGTGCCACCGACGCCATAGATAATCTAGGTGGGGGGGGGGGGGCAGGTAATGATACCAAGAAATACATAGACCAAAAGAGTTACAACATAGAACTTAGCACAGAAGTGTAACATTTCATGTCGTCACCTTCCACATAACACACAAAGTAGACAAAAGAGAAGGGGGGGAAGAGATTCAACAAACTATAATACACAGAAACGTAAAACAGAAAGAATGCTAAGCAACTTGGACATACAAGATCGTTTAGTGGATATAGGAAATTACAAAGAGCGAATGCGTTTGAGTCATTGATAGATTGAGTAGGATTCGAATACACGACTCACTGGTTGTAAAGTCAACTCTTTAACCCAGTGAGCCACTAGTACATTGAGTGGGAGATGAGTATTTTGTATATATATGTAATCCGTTCATCTATCCCTTTCTTAAGCATTAAGCATAAGCAACACCCTCCGTCTCTTCACTCATAAATAATTTTCTAAACAGTGCGGCAACGATGAGATTTAAACGAAAGCATTGGTTTAAAAAATTATAGATTGTTCTATATTCATTTGTAGAAATTTATCAAGATTATGTAAGTTAATACAAGAGAAATTAATAATATCATAGCCTTTTTGGCAAAGGATAAGGACAGTTAATACTGAGTGATTCAGACTTAGACAGAGAGTAATTCAAGCTATGAATCAATCGGTTGGAAGTTAATGGATTTCAATCATTGTGATGTACTCCAGCATCATTAACCTTTAACCCTCAAGAAAAAGAAAGTGTTAATTCTTAATCCTTTGTGCCTAGGCACTACAACAGAGAATGTTCACTAGCCACGTAGAAGGTCCAGGTCGAGTTCCCTGCAGACGCACTTCTGAATCTCTCCTAGCCTGTAGTAATGCTTGGGAAAGGCAGATGGTTGGGCATGAGGCATACAACCTCATAAGGTGAAAACACAACATCATCCCTATTGAAATTCCAAATCTTTAACTCTTATGTTCCATTTGGAGTGCAAGGGATAGAAAGAAAAATTCTTAATCCCAATTGCTTCTTAGCCGAATTTAAGTTCTAATTTGATCATTGTTTTCAACACCTTTAAGACACATTCTCTTCTACTGTTTGCTGGTTAACACTATGAAATTGATTCGGTTTTACACCTTCATGTGTTGCCTGGGCAACCATATTATCAATATTTGGCTACGAAATAAATTTAAGAAATTTCCGCAGAAGTCTTAATTACATATCACAAGTGTATATTTAAAACTTATACACGTTTATCCAATACTTAACAGTGTCTTCTAATAACTTCTGCAGTACATCAAATCTACTCTGTTTTCAGTTCCTTTAAATGTTCATTTTCTTCCTTCACTCATATTCAGTATATTCATGGAAATATTTAAACACCTTTTCAACGTATCATTTCATTAAGGGCTGTAGCTCATTCGTCTAGGCGCTTCCATCCATGGGGGCACAGGTTCGAACCCCACCTTCACCTACTGAGTCTTGGAGGACGAAGTAGTAGTATCACCAGCCCTCACATAATAGGTGTGACTCACTGCCAAAAACAAGTGGTTGTCTGGAAACATTTCATGTCATTTCACGTATAATTTCAAAGAAAATGAAGGAAAAACACAGTGGAGAGGATTTCAGTATTTCAAATCCAATGAAACATTTACTTTTTTGATTTTCTAGGGAGTGAGATCCATTTCAACGTAGATTTCATTGTGAACTGAGATCACCTAGAGAAGCACTAGACAACTACTTCACTCTAGTTTGGAACGGTTCACCATTACCCACCGGTGGTCCACGAGGGATCGAATCCAGTACCTTCAGGATACAACATGCACTGCTGAACTGAACAGTCATAAACCAGGACGAAACAACTGTCTACTGATCTACAGTTTTCAAAGACTCTCTAGGTGATGTAGGTTCGTGACGAACTATACATTCATACTACTATTATTAAGTTAAATTGAATCATGGCGTGGAATCATTTCGTAATACTTACAAATCATTTATTAAAAGATGGAATAAACTGGATTCGACTTGGAGAGTATGAAAAAAACCCAGTTAGAATGGCAACTGTCTACTTGTATTGGCATTTACCACACAAAATACAGTTTACTATTAAACTGATATGCACATATAGGGAAATTATGTATACCAAAAATTGAAATCGCCATTTGCACAGATCTTCCGTGTTGTACTATTGCTGCCCTTCGTATTGTGTTTCTTTGTCTTCTTTACGTGTCTCCCATGTTTTGCAACAATACTGGATCATTTTCTCTCTTTGACATCAAATCTATCTCTCTGATATTTGATATTTTTGTGCTTATGCATATCACTCTATATACTACTGATAAATCCAGTCAGTAGCACACGCAACAACACTACTGCTGTAATTATTAAAATTTGTTTATCCAGGTGAATCAAACACACTTTTTTACACACAGAACTTACACTAAATATTCCCCAGCTTAAGTATGATTCAGTAGTGCATGAGGAATAAACTACCGCTTATATGCACCTCTACATGAACCTACTCATTCACATACTCATGTGGGAATAATAACACTGGATGTTGTAAGCGTATTCATAGAAAACTAATAGGTGAATACTATTCGATTTGGCTGATGTTAATTATCTTTATTGTTATAACATGTATTTTGACTAAGCAACTTTTTAGTGCCAATTAATGCTTTCTTCCACAATATCAATATATATGACTACAGAGCCTGAAAATGAAGTCGTCATAAAGGAATATTTCTTCACTGAAGGAAAGTGGTGTTTTTTACTTATTAAGCATTAGTCTAGTGGGTGATGCTATTTACATCGGTGATATAGTGGTAAAACTCTTGTTAGTCACATGGGGAGGTCTGGCTTCCATTCCCGGTCGATGCACTCTTAAAGCTCGCCTCATTTATCGACTGGTTATAGAGACTAGAAAAAAGAGGAAGTCAGGCATGAGGCAGGCAATCTCACTCGATAAATAGACAACACTATCGCTGTTGAAACTGAGAACCCAAGGAATGGAAAATTAGAGTGTGTAAGCAACATGAGTACAGCTCATCACCTCATAAGATGATATAAGTTTTAGAAAATCTATTCATAAAGGATTAAGCAAATCCACAACACTAATTACACAATAAATAAACCAATAAAAAACAAAAGCAAAGAATCAAAACACTCACTTAAATTTTGTGCCATTTCATCCATAGCTAAACTTAATGGATACCAGGCAGCAGCTGCAGCAACAGCAGCAGCCAATGTAGTCGGTGATGTTGATGTCATTAAGCTAGCCGACTGAGATGTTGACGAGGATAATGGTGAGACTGATAACAGTGACGAATTATTAGAAGTAGTTGTTGTAGTCGCCGACAATGTTGATGATGGTAATACTGTTTGTTTTTCAGAACTATTAAGTGAATGTATTAAATTTGGTATAGTATTCATAAACTGATGAATCATTGGTGAGGTATTCATTGAATTTGTAGTAGATACTATATCAACAGAATCAATAGACGCTTTGCCGGTAGTCTCTGTTGTTGATGACGGAATCGTAGTAGATGTTTTACCGCCTTCTTGTTGAAATGAATCCTCTCCAGTTGTATTATATAATGAATGTTTGTGTTTTTGTAGTTGATCGTGTTGTTGACGATGGTATTGATGAAGTTCAGATTGATGATTATGTGTATTATACCAGTGAGATCGAATGGATTCCATACTATGAATGAACTGGCATGTTTACATAATTCCAAAAAGGGATAAGTGTATCACACCTTATGATGAATATTTTTATTTCTTTTCTTCTTCAACAATCAGGAGAAATACACAAAATGTATGTTATATAGATCCACGTTTTTCTTCCCTCACTGTCGTCGTGTTCTTCTTCTATTCAATATTTATTTAATTTGTTTATTTATTGAGAGATGTTGTGATGCCAACTGATAAATAAATAAAATTTTTAAAAACCCGCAAATCAATTGCTTCGATATATATGAATATATTTTTAAAACTGTTCTCCAATTAACAAAATGTTAATTATATATATCAAATTTTCGAGAATATGATTATATTGTGAACAAAATGTGTTGGTTGGGTGCGTCTGTATGTGTGTGTGCGTGCGTGTGTGTACAGGGGAGAGGGAGAGAGAGAGAGGAAGGGTAGACATTTTCTGTGTGTGTGGATAATTAAGTGTTTATTTATGTGTCATGTCTGTGTGTTCCAGTGTACATTTATATGTAGGTAGGTTTGTATGTTTGTGTGTGTGTGTGTGTGAAAGCATGTAATAACAATAATACTACTATTAGTGGTGTTGTAGTAATTTAAATAATGATATCACTCATAGCATATCTCTGATGATGACAGGAGTAATGATAATTTAATTTAATTTGATGATACACTCACTTGCATATATGCATACGCACACATACACATACACATACACACAAACTGTTCGTGAACAAAGGAAGTTAAACTTTCGAAAGCGTGAAACAATCTAATAAGTAACCTCAAAATTAATTAATGATACGGTGAGAGAGAGAGGGGAGGAGGGCGCGAGGGAGAGAGACACAGGAGGAAGAGAGCGTTTTCGCTTGTTAATTTCCACAGCTTTTATCAACTACCTACAACACTTTTAAAAATGACAGTCTCATAATAATAATAATAAGCGTGTGTAGCCGTGTACACCTGAGTGTGCGTGCGTCCGTATGTGTGGTCGTGTAACCAATGAGAAAATATCCAATTGACGATGATAAATTACTACTAAAAGATGAGTTGATGGATGGATGGATGATCTAACCAATTAAAAGACTGACTGGGAGATGATAAAAATTGAAATTGTAGTAAGTAAGCAAGGTGACAAAAACGAATATCATTTTTTGTTTGTTTTGTTTTTTTTGTCAACAAAAAATTTCATTCTATGTGCATCGGAAATATATTTCGTTGTTTACCGCCGCGGCATGTGTGATAATTCATTCAAGCGCTCTGGCTTGTATCCGTGTTTGTGTGTGCATGTGTGTGTGTAGGTTTGCGTTCATCTAACCATAAATAAGGTTGTTTGTGTGTATGTGAATGTGTCTGTATATGTTTACTAGGAATATTATCAATTATAATTGCCAAAGAAGCATAATAATTATAATAATAATACAGTTTTAAAAATATACGCATACGTGTATATGTTGTATTGACCTACCACAAATCGTAAAGGCATTTATTACCTGTCCTTATATTTGTCTGTCTTGTATTATATGAAGCATAAGATTTCCACAAGGTCATTATTACTATTATTATTATCGTTATTAGCATCCAATTTGATGGAATGTCAGATGATAGGTCAGAGTCGGTCAACCAATCAAATACTCGTCTATTTATTTACCAAAAACGTAACATCTCCATCTCACTTCCCATTGGCACACTACACATACACGAGAATTTAATGAAAAAAACTTCCCGGCAATGTTTACCAAAGAAGAAAAGAGAATTATTGGGAAATAAAATTTGAAAAAAATAATGGTGGAATCATTGTATGCCCTAATTTATCATTAAACATATGATCTTTATCATATTCCCCCCCCACCCTTATTGTCTCACAACAGTGTTTTTCCTTTTCCACTATCGATTATTATTATTATCATTATTATTGTGTTTATTTTGTCAGGTTGTTTTTCACCGGAATTGACCCTATGACCTTGTGAAAGAAAGATTCAATTTACCCCGGACAAACCAACTAAATAACCAAATAGATAAGGGAAATAAGTGTGGAGTGGAGTAGACGAGAAATTTATACCTAAGAGGGGGTGGGATGAGTGTGGGAAAGCTGCATTATAACAATAATTCACGATTATTTTTTTCAAAAATGAATGACTGTAATCTACCATATGGTAATAAATCTCATTAATTCATGTTTATTATTGTTATTAGTAGCAGCAGTAAAGTTTTTGAAGTTTTTGTAATTATTGATTTTAATGAATAATTAATACAATGGGCTTTTTTTGGTACACTTTTGTTTTTCAGAAAAATAGGCGAAAAGATTACTGATGTGTGTTTATTTCTTTTTGTAGGTACCAGTGTATACGCTTACTTAAATGGCTGAATAGAATTGGGAGACAAAGAAGACTTATTAATGAGTGTTTATCATGTCTAATTTTGTCTAAAAGTCTACAGAAAAAGGTCTCGACTTTCTTTACAGGAATTCATCATGAGCTGACATTAGTTAGAGAACCATTGGAAAACCTGGGAGTACTGGACAATTGTTTCGTCCTAGTTTGGGACTCTTCATCAGTACGCACCCACCGGGATTCGAACCCAGGACCTTCTGGTTACAAAGTCTGAATTTCTCTTCCTGTAATATCTGTGATAGCCTTCACTTAACTCATTATCATTATTGTTCGAATTAGATTTCAAGTGGAACATACAGTTTCAACAGGACATCCCTATTTCATTATGTTCTCTGCAGTCCTCTTAAGCTGGCTCCACGGTTGCCCATAAGCTTTCCTCTCCTTCTCATACGATCTCTATCGTGTTACCCTGGAACTCAAGTCAACAATGTTCTTATTCGAGTTCCACTCCAAAAATGGCCTGGTGAACAATTTCACTCAACGATCTCTGCAGGGTGTGTCCGATCGATTCTCGTTTTCTTCGGTAACAGGTGTTTGGTTGATCTTTTTCCCCAAGAGTTCCTTGTTGCTAATCTGTTTTGGCAATTTGATCTTTAGTATGGATGGAAGGCGGCTGTTAATAAAAATCTAGAGCCCGTTTGAATTTCGGTAATTTTGTAGATACAAAGTAAAACGCCTCAAACTGACTCAATTTCAATCTGTATTCATGAGCATTTTTGAATGGCTCTGAATATTACCACCAGATCTCTATTTGATGGGATCAATCCGTCGCAGTGTGGGGCATTTTGCAGACAGAATAAAATTCCTTTAAATGATATACTAAAAATCACTATTTTGCTTGAAGATTCTTTAAGAGTATGTATGTATAAATGTATTCCGCAGTGTATGCAAACATACAACTATCATTATTTACCCTCATCCTTCCATTCGTCTTCTAAAAGTGAATATCTTCAGCTTTATTAACTTTTAAACAATTTTACGCTGAATCAAGTTAATCACACTACAAAGTATGGTAGATTTCACTTCACTACCTTCCCGATTTCAATGTGTAACAGGGTGTATTGGAAAGTAGTTGGAATAAATGAAGAGGAAGTTGTAAGCTAATTAGGAAATATTGTGAAGGAAACTAAAAGCTGTTTGTAAGGCGAGTGGGGGTGATCTAAGACAACTCGTTATTACTGTCTAGAGCAGACACTTGAACTCACTCAAGAAATTGGAGAATACTATCATTGTCAGACTACTAGAACCCCATTTTGTACACAGTTCTCCCCTTGCATCTCATGAGGTAGAACTAAAAGGGATTATAAAAGACCTACTTTATACTTCAATCCCAATGCCACCTTTATTGGCAGGCATTTTATTTGATGAGAAAAGCGTTAGACATGGAACTAGTCACTTCTAAACAGCAAATAAACAGCACCTTTTATTCTTCTGATCATTAATATATGATTATCACTACTTCTATTAATTAGTAATTTTAGATTTATGCTTTTATTGATACAATTATTAATGAGTCATAAGAAAAAGGCGTAAACAGCGAAGAAAATTTTCTTTTCGACGATTCATTTTCATGAGCTTCCGTCGCCAAAAATCATAACTGCTCCTGAGGAAACTTTCTTCGTGAACCTGGAATTCAAAGGGGAAATTGCAGCAGAAATGCTTAGGAACCGCCTTTCTACATTTCTGAAGAAGACATTTCCAATAGCCACCTTATGCATCACCTTCTCCAGCAGACGTTAAGGATAAGATGGCGCTTTTGACCACTTCAGTGTGTATTTATCAATTTACTTGCTCGTGTGGAGCAAAGTATATTGGTCGTACGCAACGTCAAGTTCACAAACGTATTCTGGAATACTGTCCAGCCTGGTTAGCCAGAGGAGAAAAGAAGAATGGCTGCAGCTCCATCCTCGAACATCTTGTCATCTCTGGAAATCGAGCACCCTCACGTGAATGCTTCAGAGTTCTACACAGAGTCCCTCAATATCGTACAAGGGGACTTCGTATACGCTATCTGTACACAGCTGAAGCATTAGCTGTTCGGGATCTGTAACCAGACCTCTGCATTCAAAAGTGCTATATACATTCACTCACCCTACCGTGGCCAGAGTAAAGTTCTTACTATAATTTTGCTTCTTCTTTTTATTATGTAAGTGTACTATTATTATTGTTATTTCTACTATTATTTTATTATCATTATTATTCCCATCATCCATATTTCATTACTACTCTATTACTGTTTATTAATAACATTGTATTTTCATACAGATTTTATATAAGAACAATTTATCGCCATTCCACCATTTCCTGTTCATTCTACATGAGCTTATTGTTTAGTCATTATCTCACAGTCATTACGTCATGCCAACGTCTGCCTCTAACTTCCAATTAGTCATCCCTTCTAGGTTACACCTTACATTACGTTTTAGAGGCTGAGGGTATTGACGTTCACGGATAGTACGAAGTATACTAACGCAAGATCTAATACCTACAACTTCTAGAGTATTCGTTCCACGTAGACCAAAGGTAAAGCAAAACACAAGAGTTGATCGTCCAAATTACGAGATATATTTCGGGACCAAATTGGATGATTGCTTAGCTAGCTAGGGATCGTGCGCGAACGAACGAACGTGACACGACGGAGTACTAAATGGCGTGGATGCTTGACCGGAAGCCTTCAGCTAAACAAGTTGACTTGAACAGTGAGGGTCAACATCCAATGTTCAGTGATGAATGCTGTGGCCAAAAATTTTGGGGAATTATTTACTGCTACAACGTAATACATTTTTCGAGGACAAAGTTTACCAGTATCTGATTGGTCTAATAATTTCTTTGTTAAATATAATTACGATTGAAAACGATTCGTCGAAAAGAAAATTTTCTTCGCTTTATCTTATGACTCCGTAAAAGAATATTTCGTTCATTAAACAGTTATTAATACCAATTAGAGAACCATTGAAAACCTGGGAGTAGCGGACAGCTGTTTCGTCAGCCTAGTTTTGGACTCGTCATCATTACGCACCC